TGACCATTCTCGGGTGTCTCTCAACATAGATGAATTGTTAATGTGTCGGATGATGTAGGATTTAATTAGTTTTAAAATGGTACCGTATGATGCATGAGCTGGTAATGCAAGGCTTTAACTACAAAATGTAGCACGATGATTTGGTGATTTCATTTTCAAGTGTCTTTTGGAAGACACTGTATAATATGTGAGAATACAGTCTATACAAAACTGTCTTCAGTTTGCCACTGGACTTGTATCGTTCCCCCGGCGTAGACTACGGAACTAGATTTAAAACAAGAAGCTTAATGATACTGTCATCTTGCATATAGCAATAAGTAGACCTTATATGTAATCGAAATTTACTGCTGAACAGATAGTAGATCTGACCTTGCGGGTGGCTGGACGATGCCGCTGATAGGTCCTACTTCTTTTCTCTCCCTCTGTTGTTTCTGTCGATCTGTCTTGCTTCTTCCTTGCACTGACTGAATGACCTTTGTTGGGTCGATGTGCTTCTCTTTACTTCTTTACTCAAATTTAAAAACCCAGACTCAAGATCTGACCTTTGCTGATACGAAAGGGTAGCAAAAGAACACCACTTGGTGGCTCCAGTAGATTTTCTCTCTTGCTCTTAATCAAGTAATCTTGTGGTCTGCAGTCTGGCTTTAGAGCATTATGCTTCGTAAGCTTCTAAGATTATGGTCAACTTCTCTCTAGAATTACGGCCGCCAAGACTCATCTCATAATTGTAGCTAGTTCCCGAAATGAGAACACTGCATGTAAATTGGCAGACAAGATGAAGGCTTTTGCATACTTAAGAATGGTAGGGTATTATAGATCTAGTCACGATTGTTGCAACCTAATGTAACTGCTTTGTATAAATTGAATGAAGCTTTGGGTGTGTCTCGAGAAGACTATGAAGTCATGAAAGTGCCAGGAAAACTTTGACAGAACAACCGGGACAGTTTGAAACAGCAAGGGCAACATGCCAAAGTGCCAGTGGCAACTCTACGCACAAGGAGAAAAGTACAAAATGTACATAATGTACTACTTTCCCTTTTTGTTTATTTGGTTTTTCTTCAACTTATACTTATTCTTTCCGTCTGTTGCTTTACTTCTCCACGACACGAACGAAATGAAATGATAGCTTGTTTGCGTTTGTGTACATTATTATTATTGTTATTATTATTATTATCATT